AGAGACGGGGTTTCACCATGTTGACCAGGATGGTCTCGATCTCTTGACCTCGTGATCCACCCACCTCGGCCTCCTAAAGTGCTGGGATTACAGGCGTGAGCCATCGTGCCCAGCCCAAAAGTCCTTATTCTTACTGACACCAGTATAATTACCTAGTTGCTTGAACCCCAGTATATCAATGTCAGAATACTAATATTACCACCGAAAATAAATTACTGGAAACAGTTTAGGATTTTGGCGGGCACTTTTCTTCATTAGGATATATACCAATAAGGATCTATGATAAAATTGCAATGTTTAAGAACCATTTGAAAATTTTTTATATGAGGTTATGCCACCAACTCAACAACACATTTTGCTTTCGATTTTTAGAGGTTGCTGTAAATTTTTTTATGTTACTGTATTTACTTAATTTTTTTAGAGATGGGGGTTTTGCTATGTTGCCCAGACTGGTCTTTTTTTTTTTTTTTTTAATAGCAGCTTATTTACTCTAATACAGGCAGGTCTTGAACTCCTGTCCTCAAGCAGTTATTCTTGCCTCAGTCTCCCCACTAGCTAGGACTATAGGCATATATCACCACACCTGACTTAGAGGTAGCTTTTTAAAAAATTAGTTTTGCCTATAAAATTATGTAATAATCATGAAAAATATTTACATGGCTCCAAAGTCTGCAAAGCAAGTTATATGACAAGAAATCCAACTTCTGTCTTCTCCCTCTCCCTATAGATAACCATTTATTTATTTTGTGTGTGTGGTTTTTTCTTTTTTTGAGACAGAGTCTTGCCCTGTTGCCCAGACAGGAGTGCAATGGTATGATCTCGGCTCACTGCAACCTCCACCTCCCAGGTTTAAGCGATTCTCCTGCCTCAGGCTCCCGAGTAGCTGGGATTACAGATACATGCCACCAAGCCCGGCTAATTTTTATATTCTTAGTAGAGATAGGGTTTTACCACGTTGGCCAGGCTGGTCTCGAACTCCTGACCTCAAGTGATCTACCTGCCTTGGCCTCCCAAAGTACTGGGATTACAGGCCTGAGCCACCGCACCCAGCCTTATTTTGTGTTTTATCTTCTCATTAAGAAAAAAGTTGGCCGGGCGCGGTGGCTCACGCCTG